TGCTGGGAATCGAACCAGATTTTTTCTTTTAAGAGGAGACGAGCGTTTTATTAAAATGATGTCGTTTTGGCATGGTGCATACGGATGCACATCATAATTTGCCGGTAAAAACCGTGATAAAAAAATGTTTACGTACAAGACTTTGGGCTTAAAGAGTACGTGTACTGCATGTGTAAAGATTTTTGTTGAGACTTGCAGCTTCTTGATGAATTTTATATATATATATATATATATATATATATATATATATAGACTAATAATCAAATGAGTTCATCTTGTTATATAAATTCGTGTAGATAAATTTGGACCATTGAATGCTTGAGATCAATGTTTTAGATTTTGCCGTGATTAAAGTGCACAGTTGTACAGTTGGCTAAACCTAAGTCATTGATCTCAAGTATTCAATGATTCAGATCTGTCCACATGGACTCATGGGGAAGGGTGGACTCACGCGAACATTGGCCTCTCCCTCTCCCCCTCTCTCTCTCTCTCTCTCTCTCTATATATATATATATATATATATATATATATATATATATATATATATATATTTAATGCTTCTATTGGAGCTAATAAACTTAAGAATCAATGCAATTCTTGATAGAATGCAGCATCACAGGTCCAAAGATTCAAACAATTGTTGTATGATCGTTGAACCAAATATGCACACAAACTCGATAGTTACAGAAAGTTGGTAAGAAAGTTAAACTAATTGTATGATTTTTATTAAGTTCTGAGTTTAATTGAAACTTTTTAAGTAATTATTTTTTAAAATTTATTTTGATAGGATTAAATAAGCGTTTGAATTTTAAAATGTTACAATTAAACATATATCAACTTTTGTATATGGGTCCAATAACCAATTATTATGGATAAAAAAAAATTATAATTATTAACGACAATTGGCTAGTTGCCCTTCTTTAGATCGAAGAAGAAGGTGACTAACATCTATCGATTTTGATTGTCGAAAGTTTGAACCTGATAATAACCTTAATTAATTATTAGTATTTGGCTATTAAGCATATATATATATATATATATATATATATATATATATATATATATAGAGGGACGCACTCAGGTGCGAATAAGTGCCTAGGAAGGAAATGTGAACGGATCAGCGCGCGACACGTGTCCAGATCTAATAACTTAAAAAAAATGCGGTGACATTTTCGTAAATAATTGAACATCGAAGTGCAAGTAAAATCTCTTATAAGTGCACCTATTTTCACCTATTAGTGCATGTAATTTTGCCTTGTTAGCATTCACTTTTCGCAGCCATTCATGCACCTGGGTGTGCTTATAACTATATGTGCAACTATTTATAACTATAGGTGCAACTACTTATAACTATATGTGCACCTACTTTCACCTATAAGTGCATGTAATTTTGCCTTGTTAACATTCATTGATCTGAGTTCGCGGGTAGTAATACTCCTGAAAACCACTCGCAAACATTCATACACCTAGATGCAACTACTTATACCTATGTGTGCAACTACTTAGAACTATTGGTGCAACTACTTAGAACTATAAGTGCAACTAAGTATTGATGCTCAGTGTAAATTTTTACTTGCACCTATAATACATTTTACATGCACTTGTAATACATTTTACTTACACCTCGATGTTCAATTATTTACGAAAATGCCACCGCGTTTTTTTTTTAAAAATCAGTGTTTCTCATCCATTAGATCTGGACACGTGGACGAACAGAATCCATTCCTATTTCGGCCTGGGCGAGCCGTTCGCACCCGAGTGCAAGTCTATATATATATATATATATATATATATATATATATATATATAAACAACAACCATAAGTTGATTTGTTTAGTTATTTCTTTTTATATATAATAAAGTTCAAGAGTCACCATTTTTCCTTTTATTATTTTTTTGGGGTCTAATTAACATCGATAGTTAAGAGGTTAGCAGAACATTTTTCACTATTTTTGCTTCTTTGCTCCTTTGATTTCTTTTCTTAATCTCTTATGCATAATTTTTTCACATATATAAAAATAATAAATTAATAAACCAAACATACAAGGTGATAGATTTAAAATATATGGATCAGAAAATGCCAAAATGATTTTGATATGTAAACATACATAATTAATTAGAGGATAGGCTTAATTTTAATTCCCCAGCCACTCTTTTTCCGTGGCTTTCTCATATTTGTATGGAGTGTGTTAATTTGAGATCTGAGAGAGGGATATATAAATAAGAGGGGTGTTAGCCATTTTCCAAATGAGAAAAGACAATCCAAGAAAGCATTTAACTTTTCCAGAATAAAAGAAAGAGAATAGTAATAAAGAAGAGGAGAAAATGGGGTCGAGAATATGCTTCGTTTTGCTTCTCTTCTCCCTTGTTCTTGGCATTGCCACATCCTCACTCCTTGATTGTATGTAATATTATCTCATTTCATATATTTAATCTGCCTTATATATGAATGCATTTGAAACATTTGTTTTTGATCCACGAATGTACAGATGATACGGTGGAGACTCCAGGAGAAAAAGTGCGTTCCCTTCTTGAAAAGAAAAAGGGTAGCTTTCTTTTTCTTTTTCTGCACATAGCATATATACATGATTTATTTCAATTATATTGCTCATAAGTTCTTTTAAAAAAATGCAATAATTTTGATGATTTTCAGAACCAAAGATGACCGAACCTTGTCCATTCGACGTGAAGAAAGCGAACTACAAAATAGTTACGAGCCAGTGCCAAAAACAATCATTTCTTTATCCCGCCAAGGCATGCTGTAAATCATTTAAGCAATTAACCTGCAAATATAGGGATTACCTTAACGAGGATAACACTTGCGCCGAGGAAATGATCGAATATCTCCGTAACTACGGCAAGTATCCTCCGGGGACTTTCCGTCGCGTCTGTGAAGAATTTGAAGGCAAGAAGGACCTCGACTGTGCTGGATATTAATACATATGAAAGAAGAAAATGCAGCCAAAATAGGTTTGGAATAATATAAATTCCTGTCCAAGATTTGGATTACATACAAATTAAAACTTGTACTATATAAAATTGTACAAAGTGTTTCCACTGGCTTAATTATAACTTAACCTACTATACTCCTCCAATGCCTTCATATTTCCTGCCTCTCATAGTGGATACTTCAAATCAAATATAGGTTATTTAATTAAGAATCAAGTAATTTGTTCGCCGCTTATATATATTTGAACATAACATGATAACATATATGTGATGCACAAAACTCTTACAACAAGGTTCATGAAATGATTTTTAAGAGATGGGGAGATACCATTTAATGTAGAATATAATGGAACAAGAAATAGAACATGAATTGTATTTTTTAGTTGGACAATTTGGTCTAGACTAGTGTTTAGTTGGTTTTAAGGATTAGAAATGGAATATAAAGACACAATACCATAGGCGTGCCCAAACAGTACCATAGGCGTTTATTTCGAGTAAAACAAAAATGAGTAGGCGTTTATTTCACTGAGTAAAATGAAACTTGAGATACAATGCAACTTGAGAATTATGGTAATAGTAACTGTAGTAATAACCTTTCAAAAAAAAAAAAAAAACTGTAGTAATAATAAAATAATAATAATAATAATATAATCTTATTAATAAGATTTTTAAATAATATTATTCTATAGCAACGTAACTACAATATTGTGTAAACAAAAAAACAAAAAAATTATGATATTTAAGTTATAAAACAAAATATTTATATAAATAACAAAAAATTTTCTTAACTAATTTAAAATGTTATAATTATACATATCAACTTTTGCATATGAGTCCAATAACCAATTATCATCGATAAAAATTGATAATTATAATTATTACTGACAATCGGCTAGTTGCCCTTCTTTAGATCGAAGAAGAAGGTGACTGACATATATCGATTTTAATTGTCAAAAGTTTGAAACCTATAATAACCTTAATTAATTACTAGTATTTGGCTATTAAGCCTATATATATGTAAAAAAAAAAAAAAAAAAAAAAAAGTTGATGTGTTTAGTAATTTCTTTTTATATATAAAGTTCAAGCTAAGAGTCACCATTTTCCCTTTTATTTTTGTTGGGTCTAATTAACAACGATAGTTAAGAGGTTAGCAGAACATTTTTCACTATTTTTGCTTCTTTAATTTGCTCCTTTGATTTCTTTTCTTATTCTCTTATATGCAGAATTTTGTCATATATATAAAAATAATAAATAAATAAACCAAACATACAAGGTGATGATTTAAAATAGAGTTAATACCCAAAATCGTCCTCGACTATAGTGGTTTTTCTCAATTTCGTCCTAAACGACTTTGGTGACCTAATATCGTCCCAGACTTTTGTGTTTCGCTCAATTTAGTCCTCCATTTGTTATTCCGTCAAATTGGTGTTAAATAAAGGGACAATTCAGTATTGTCAATATTTATCTCTCTTTACTTTCAACTTGTGAAGTGCGAAATTCCTCTTTCTTGTACGAATTACACCCAGAATTATTCGCGGACCTGCAAATCAAATTTTATATTCACAGTTTTAGGAGTAATTCTGGGAGTAATTCGTAAAAAAAAAAAAGGATTTCGCAGTTCACATGTCTATGAGTAAAGAGATGCCAATATTAAAATTACTGAATTGTCTATTTATTTAACACCAAATAGACAGAATAACAAATGAAGGACTAAATTGAGCAAAAATACAAAAGTCTGGGACTAAATTGAGCGAAACACAAAAGTCTGGGACGATATTATGTCACCAAAGTCGTTTAGGACGAAATTGAGAAAAACCACTATAGTCGAGGACGATTTTGGGTATTAACTCATTTAAAATATATGGATCAGAAAATGCCAAAATGATTTTGATATGTAAACATACATAATTAATTAGAGGCTATGCTTAATTTTAATTCCCCAGCCACTCTTTCTCCGTGGCTTTCTCATATTTGTATGGAGTGTGTTAATTTGAGATCTGAGAGAGGGATATATAAATAAGAGGGGTCTTAGCCATTTTCCAAATGAGAAAAGACAATCCAAGAAAGCATTTAACTTTTCCAGAATAAAAGAAAGAAAATAGTAATAAAGAAGAGGAGAAAATGGGGTCGAGAATATGCTTCGTTTTGCTTCTCTTCTTCCTTGTTCTTGGCATTGCCACATCCTCACTCCTTGATTGTATGTAATATTATCTCATTTCATATATTTAATCTACCTTATATATGCATGCATTTGAAACATTATCTTTCTTTGTTTTTGATCCACGAATGTACAGATGATACGGTGGAGACTCCAGGAGAAAAAGGGCGTTCCCTTCTTGAAAAGAAAAAGGGTAGCTTTCTTTTTCTTTTTCTACACACACTGCTGGAAATTATGGAATTTCTGACCACCTGAAAATGATCTTAAATCAAGTCGAAAACCTTGTTCCGACCACTTTTGGTATCCGGAAAAACCTTTGTTGCTATTTTCGACTACTTTTTGTTTCGACTTGATATAAGATCACTTTCAGGTGGTCGGATTCCAGCAGTGACATAGCATGTATACATGATTTATTTCAATTATATTGCTCATAAATTCTTTTAAAGTAATGCAATAACTTTGATGATTTTTTCAGAACCAAAGATGACCGAACCTTGTCCATTCGACGTGAAAAAAGCGAACTACAAAATAGTTACGAGCCAGTGTCAAAAACAACCATTTCTTTACCCCGCCAAGGCATGCTGCAAATCATTTAAGCAATTAACCTGCAAATATAGGGATTACCTTAACGAGGATAACACTTGCGCCGAGGAAATGATCGAATATCTCCGTAACTACGGCAAGTATCCTCCGGGGACTTTCCGGCGCGTCTGTGAAGAATTTGAAGGCAAGAAGGACCTCGACTGTGCTGGATATTAATATATATGAAAGAAGAAAATGCAGCCAAAATAGGTTTGGAATATATAAATTCCTGTCCAAAGATTTGGATTACGTACAAAACTTGTACTATATAAAATTGTACAAAGTGTTTCCACTGGCTTAATTATAACTTAACCTACTATACTCCTCCAATGCCTTCATATTTCCTGCCTCTCATAGTGGATACTTCAAATCAAATATAGGTTATTTAATTAGGAATCAAGATATAACATTAATAGATGACACTTTAATTTGTTCGCCGCTTATATATATTTGAACATAACATGATAACATATGTGTGATGCACAAAACTCTTACAATAAGGTTCACGAAATGATTTTTAAGAGAATGAGAATACAACTTCATATATATATATATATATATATATATATTCAAATCTGGTGCACCCCCTAATTAGATGATCCTGTGAGATTTGTTGATATCCATAGATTGATTCCCCATCAATGGTTGAGATCATGTGATCTTCCTAGAATAAAATAAAGATTTGTCTTTAATAAGGGTGTTATCAGTAATTGTACCTAATGGCTTAATTATGGTTAAAATTAATATGGGAAGTTATGCATGAATCCAGGGATACTAACACATTAAATATATATGGTGTGATACATCACATGGGAATAAGTAAAAAGCAAAGGGCGATACATTTCATGTTGGAAGCCGGACGGTGAGGTTGGACGCTCAAGAAGCTACCATTCCAGGTTTGTGCATATTAGATTCACAATTTGTGCGTGTCTAGTTTCTGAAATTTATATGTAACTGGGATACGAGTTTAAAGGTTTGAGCACTAAAAACCCAACAAACTGTATGTGTGTCTGTGTGTATATATGAGAATGCGACTAGTCTGGGAACCAACATACACACCACATACTTTTGATTACGGAGGCCATTTAAGGATAATTGGGTATGTACCAGTTAGTGCGTGGAAGTATAATATATTGATTCAAAAAATGGGTATAAAGTGGCAAACGCGAACTTGAGCTGGTGTGTATGAATATTAGAACACGCAGTACATATGCGTATGAAAGCGATATTTTTTTTTTTTTGTCCCCCGAATTTGTGTACTCAATTTTATTTTGTTGACGTTTGTGAATTTGGCTATCTGTTACCGGACAGTTGTTGATTACCCCCTGACATTTAATTTGCAAAATGACAAAAGCCCAGAATAAAAAAAAAAAGCTGCCAGTTAGCACCTAATGAACTAAATGTAGTGGGTGCGTGTGCATATGAATGTTTGTGCGCGAGTGTGTAGTCTAATGGCAGGCATGTGGTTTCATGGTGTATAAACTTGTACGTATTGCCTCAATGGCATCCGTGTTTTGGTTGATGCATGGTATTATATCCGGAAAGGCCGAAGTCGAATCTGGGAGATGGTGCACGGCATTATGGTGCCTTGTGCACCACGCGTGTAACGACACGGCCACAATTTGGGCTCCCCCCACACCTCTGAACAATGTCTAATCTGGTGAGTGCGTGGTAGTAAACAGCTTTGTGCATCATGCATATAATTTAGGTTATTTTATGAAATCATTTGGGAGTTATAGTGGTGAGTGCGTTGTAGATGATTATATACAATGACCTAAATTATATGCATGATGCATAAAGCTGATTATTGGTGAGTGCGTGGTAGTAAACAGCTTTGTGCATCACGCATATAATTTAGGTCGTTGTATATAACCATCTGGGAGTTATAGTGGTGAGTGCGTTGTAGACTAAACCATTGTGCACTACGCATATAATGAGTCGCCATGCATGCAATGGATGTGAATGCTTTTGTGTTTGCGTGGGTGCGTCGTTTGTTTCAATGCCCGTGCATGACGACTAAATTCCGTTTGACTGTGTGAACTATGTTTTTAAAACTCCATTACGAATAATACGAATCGTTACGCAGGTGATATAAGCATGGAAGACGGGGGGAAAAGCCAACACTGTGTGATGGATGAATCCCAAGACGGTCCAAGCATTTGGTTTACGGAATGTGACCCATCGATAAAACCAACTGTCGGACAGGAGTTTGATACGTTGGAAGATGGCATCGCATACTACAAGACATATGCATCCGTAACTGGATTTGATGTGCGCAAGAGTTCCGACATTAAGAACCGGTACGGGATCATCTTAAAGAAGAAACTAGTGTTCAATCGTGAAGGGTATAAGGATGCAAAACCACCCACCACAGCAGAGCAAAATACCACAGCACAACCAAAACGACGACGCCCATCTAACAGGGTTGGGTGCGTGGGTGTGCGTCCATAGTGAATCAACACTTTATCGAGGAAAACAGATCAACACCATATCGGTCCAAGAATGGACCATGAATGTTGGATAACTTCGAGCGACATAACCCCATGGATTGCAAAAAAATATTACTGAAACAAAAAAATCAAAAACAATATTACGCATGAACGTATACGGGTGGGAGAAATTATTAATAACATGATACGGTCTACAACTGACAACATCTGGTCCCATCTGTTATCTACTCAAACAAATACATGCCTATTATACGTATGGACGCATATTTTTGAGAGGAAAAAAAAACGTGAGTGCATATTCTTTTTGATCGCATGTGCGTATGCAAGGAGCGACCGACCGTAGAAATAAACTGATACGGTCGTCATCTGAAAGCGCCTCGACCCTTCAGTTAACTAATGTAGCTACTGCATATCAAATTCCGTACGTAGAAATGATTTTATTACCAAAAAAAAAAAAAAAAAAAAAAAAAAAACGGTGCTTGATTGCAAACTGTGCGTGTGCGTACATAGTGACTCAAACCTTGGTGTGGTGAAAAATATTAATGGAAAAAAAAATCAAAAGTGCGTTCCTGTAAAATTACGGATGAGCGTATACAACGAGCGCCCGAAATTAGTAATAGAATCATACGGTAAACATCTAATAGCCTCAGGACCAACCGGTTACCTAACCCAAAAAGAGTATTATACGTACGGCCATAAATTTTCAAGATTAAAAAAAAAAAAAAACAAGAAAATTACGAAAACAAAAAAAGTGAGTGCGTATTCTTTTTTAACGACTGTGCATGTAGACTGACATTCCTGCAACCGCTATAAAAAATAAATGCAACATAACCAAACATCGTTAATACGGAAAAAAGTTTACGTGGATAATCAAGATAAACACACCAAACAACAATGCAATGACGACACGAGTCTACACTTTCCATCATCCCCCCACACTCCAAAAACAAATTAAAGAATAATATCAACATAACCCCAACTGCCAACCCGTAACACCACTGTTTCCCGTACCCCCATTCCGCCCACCGCCCACCATCCCACCCCCCTCCCCCCCCCCCAAACATACTCCAAACACACAGAAAAAGAAACACATAAATCACCCCCGGCCCCCCCACCACCACACAACCCCCCGAAAAAAAAAAACCCAACCCCCGGACTTTCGACGACCCATTTAACCATACCCTCTCACTACACCAAAACAGCAAACCCACACAGCCCATCCCAGAAATTTCCCGGTAAAACACAAAAAACCACCCCAACCATGGAATCCCCAATCCGGCCACCGCCTCACAAACCCCCAACCCCAAAACAAACTCCAAAATTCATAGAATCGACATACAACCCCCCCCCCCTCCCACGATACATGCAAAAGCCCCATCCACCGGCCGCCCACCGGCCCACTCCAACCCCAAACCCATTTCACAGACGGCTCTCCGCTGGTGGGCACTGAATTTCTTCATTGGTCTCACGAGATGAGATGGCGAAGCACGGATCTTCAATGGCGGGAACAAACCATGATCGACCTCGTCAGGCTCCACATCTGAACCATCCGCAACGGGGGGTTGACGTACCGGCTCAACGGGAATCTCACCCCCCACAGTATCGGGCAACTCTGAAACCGCTTCTGCCGAAACTGTCCCCCCATCTCCCGCAACATCGGCCGCATCAGCCACAGGCGAAACTGCCACCCCATCTGCCGCCGCTTCTGCCGCAGCAACATCAAACGGCACTGCAATACATACCACACACAAACCAAACTAACAAAGACGAAACCATATTCCAACCACAAAATGACAAAATAAAATAGACATAAAGCATGAAGCCACACACCTATATAGACCCACAACCCCACCCCCCCACAGTCCACCCCACCACCACCACACAGACACAGAAAGACCCCCACCACAGTGAAGACAATAAACCAGTAACAAATACATGCACCAAGTTGCAACCCCGTCCCGCACCAACCAATACTGATTTACCCTTTAAAACTCTATGGGTATTAGAACATGTAAAAAAACCTACTGTGAACAGTAAAATCAACAATAAAATAACACACTGACATGCACAAGGGCAAACAGCAAACGCACACACCATCTTCAACAAAAAAACTGTGAACACTTCATTACAGTGAAGACAATAATTCAGTAACAAATACATGCACCAAGTTGCACCCCCGTCCCGCACCAACCAATACTGATTTACCCTTTAAAACTCTATGGGTATTAGAACATGGAAAAAACCTACTGTGAACAGTAAAATCAACAATAAATAAAACACTGACATGCACAAGGGCAAACAGCAAAACGCACACACCATCTTCAACAAACATACTGTGACCACTTCATTACAGTGAAGACAATAAAACCAGTAACAAATACATGCACCAAGTTGCAACCCCGTCCCGCACCAAATAATACTGATTTACCCTTTAAAACTCTATGGGTATTAGAACATGGAAAAAACCTACTGTGAACAGTAAAAACAACAATAAAATAAAACACTGACATGCACAAGGGCAAACAGCAAAACGCACACACCATCTTCAACAAAAATACTGTGAACACTTCATTATCATCGAACACATGCGATACCAACAACCCATTACTGTACTAAACCTCCAAAAAACAAAGGGTATTAGAACCTGTTTTCAATTCCTAATAACAATGAAAAAAATCCACACCCTAGACGGAATTAAATTACAATAAACATAGACATTCAACACATATGCAATCACCACTGATTCCAAAAACCAGAAAAAAATAAGACACAGATGTGATGCAATATAATCCATGATTTGTAGTGAAGATTAACATTTCTTTTGGTGTAATGACTGGATTTCTGTGTTGTTGGATGGTATTTTCTATCTATCTAAGAAGC